ACATTATGAGTTCTATTGTATGGTTTTGGCTTAGGAATCTTTAGCTTTTGCGGCACAGGGGCGAGGTTCACAGCACCCTCGATCTGGTTTTCACCTCCTCGAGTTAGGCCTTGTAGTGCAACATTGACAACATTGAGCTGACCTGTCAAGTTGTCTATGGTTTGCTGCATGGCAGTCACCCTGTCTGCCACTTGCTCCCTAGAAGGTAAATCCTCGGTCCCCTCCTGTTGGAGCACCTCGAATTTACTGAAAATTTTTGCTTCCTCTATGGCTGCCGTTTGTCGGTCTCTTTTAGAGTCGCGACTCATGTTTGAAATATCACCTTCGGCCTGCCGCATCATGCGGTCCAAGTCATCCAACCTTTGCACTAGGCCAGTTCTTCTGTCAGACACTATATTCATGATGGGTTGCAATACGTTAACTGTCTCTTCAAGGGCTGCAATACGGTCCCCATGATTCACCATGGTCAGAAATGGTGGTAATGACAATATATTCCCTCGTCCGATGTCGAGCCTAGGCTCTGATACCAATTGTTACGCGATGCCTTCATGAGATTCCTTGGAAGGGTGACGTAAGGCAAAGCAACTGATGTCCGTGCAGTTACTATCCACCAACAGGGGTCCCCTCTGTACGCTAGACGAGACTGTTAGTGCCATACAGGAAAACCAATGTCAAGAGCAATTGAGAGAACAGAAAAGAGAAGAAGAATGAAAGAAAGCTTGATTGCATTAATAAAAGCTATTACATAAAAGCAAGACGGTGTCGAGGGGGAGAGACACCAGTACAAAAAATTATTTGCTTGCCGGAAAGTTTGATTGCTTGATCCTCCATGATAATGCTTAAAAAAAAATAAACCAAAGTTACAGGATTTGACTTAACTAAGCTAGAAAGACATAATGAAAATACAGGAAATAAAACTACCCTATATTTACAATGAAAAGACTTAGATTCCTACAAGGTAAAAGCAGATCCGTTGGCAGCAACCTTGTCTTTAGCATCAGAGTCTGCATGCGCGACGCTGTCTGTACGCGTGGCGTTGCCTGCGCGTGCGGCACTGTTAGCATCTGCCTGCAGTTGGACGCTGGAGAGGGCTATCGGTGGGGCAACATAGGCATGAGCATGCCAGTCACTTAGCACGACCAAGACCACGTGACCGTCCATAGCTCTAGGCGTTGGGAAGCTTGCCAAGACGCCATAGGGCACGTCCAAGGCGTCATGGAGCATGGCTAGAAAGCCGCCCATGACATTAGTAACATGAGTTGCACCATATAGAACCATAAAATTAAATGCCAGGAACAATATCTAAAGAACTATCGTAAAAATTGACATCATAGTTCAACTTAAGAAGAAAAACTACTGTAACTAAGTTCTTCAGGATATTTGGAACATACAAGCATGGTTCGATTGAGGCATGACATTATTATTGCTATTGAATACTTCTCTCTCTCTTTTTTATTTTTTTTATTTTTTATTTTTATTTTTATTTTTTTAAAATCAATCATTTCAGTTTCGGAAGCTCATGTCCATGTTTATCTGAATTAATGTTAGTTAGTCCTATTAAAGGGAATAAAGCGCCCACATTGAAAGATTCTTAATTTCCAATGTACGACCATGAACCTTTTGTTAAAGGTAAAGGATCCATCTCAACCATCTCACCCTACCTCTCTTCGGGAATGCTGCAAATGTTTAGCGTGCAAATTTAGATGTAATTTTTGCAGTTACTAGCTTTAATTTTGTGGAAGTTAAGAAAATTTTGGGATTAACTAGCAGATGCATCAAGTTGGTGCAAGTTGCCATCACGGTGGGATGCACAATTGCCTAGTTGAAATTTGTGAGAGTTTAGTTGTCGCTCGGGCAAAGATAAGATTAACTCATAATTAGAGCATAAACCTATGAGCTTACGGTAACTCATTAACTTTTACTCAAATACTATATATATATTCAAGGAATTCACTACTTTATGTATACCCTAATTATTATTGCATACTCCTTCCTGTTCAAAATAAGTGATTTTTTGGCATTTTTCTTGTGGTTCAAAATAAACGATTTTTCCAGATTTCAAGAATGAATTAATTATTTTTTCATACATTGCCCTTGCAGTAATTAATATTGGAGTATGTGTTAGGAGTATTTATGTGAAGAGATAGTAAAGGTTAATATGGTCAATTTTATTGCTAATTAATGTTAAAAGGTGAATTTCTTAATATGTATGAAAATAACCAAAAAATCACTTATTTTAAACCTAAGGGAGTATTAACTAAAGGTCGTTATAGACAATCATAAACTTCAAATTTTGAATTTGTATATATCTATTTGAAATTTATGGAATTAGATGATTACATTAAGAAATCGTGCAAGTGGTATGAATGTCGAATTGAGTACTAGACCTCCTAATCTAGGTTTTCGTAACATAGATTAGACAAATAGATCTTAACTTTTTAGGGGTCGTTTGGTTTGAATACGGCTTATGCTGAGATAGGTTATGTTGAGATTAATTATGTTACGATTAATTATTCTGATATTATTTTTTATCCATTGTTTGATATGTTGTATTAAAAATGATAGTTGTATAATTTCTAAGAAGAATGTATAAGTTATCCCGATACTAATTACCTCATCCCCTATAAGTTATTCCGGTACTAATTTTAATCCCGGAATAATTTATACCAAATTTACTAACCAAATAAAATATTAATGTGATATTAAATTTTTATACCAATACCATATCTACCTATACCTCATGCCAAACGACCCTTAGTACGTCCAAAAAGGTCCAGTAAATAAAATTAAAGAAAGCATACAATTATCATCGTAGCTGTCAATTATGAAATTTAGTATAGATGGCCATATGATTGAAGGCTCACCTTTCCAAAGGTAGTCAGCCACTCCGCTCCCCCTCCCCTACTGACTTTTTAAAGTACTTATATTTCTTTTTAAAAGAAAAGATGTATTTGCTAATTCCTAGATTCGTACAGTACACCAGTCTAACGTTTTCCTCTTATTTTTTGGGAGAAAACAGCTTGCTGGATTCTTCATAAATTAAGAGGGTGAGGGTGTTTGGATTGGCTCAAAACATTTTAAAAGTATTTTTTGGACAAATACAAAAAGTCAAGAGCTTTTAAGTCAAAATAACTAAACCTAACTTATTTCTTTTGGGCTTAAAAGCTACTTGAGTTTGACCAAGTAATTTACCCTATTATCCCTTACATACTTCTATAATTTCCAAAGTACCCTATCTTCCTAAAACCTCTAACCTGTTTCCTTTTCTTCCCATTTCTTCATATTTGGTGTCATAACTTCAGGAGTATTCTAAACTGATTGGCAAGACTTGTTTCTCAACTTCAACAGCTTCTAATTCCTTCCGATTCCACTTTTGATTCATTTGCATAATCAAATATGAAAGCAGATAACAAGAAAGTAACTTTTACCTGATTCTTCGATTTTGAAAACTATTTTACATCAATTTATTTACTTTGTGGGTAATTTTATATGAATTGTTTTTTATAATTAAGTATATTTTTTAATTACGATTATTAAGTAATGCCTTACCTAATAAGTACTTCATATTAATTAAAATAATCTTATCTAATCAGTATTATAACTTAAACTGAATTGATACACAAATTAATTTGCATTTGAGTTAATTTAAAATAAGAAAATGCATCAATAAGCTTATTTTTAATGTTGACAGCTTTAAGGGCATCTCGGTCATTTTAACAGAAAAAATGTTTATCAGCACTTGTTTACCAAACATTTCAATAGTTTTTTTTCCAGCTTAAGCACTTTTATCCAAACACGTAACTGCGTATTTATAAAACCAGCTCAAACACTTGTGTTTAAAAGCCACTTTTTTCCAGCCAATCCAAACAGGCTCTAAGTCATGGTTAGTCATTAATAATTAGCTCTAAATGATTAGAACGTATTGTATAATTTGCATTTCAAAATATAAATAAACTCCTTAAATAATGTTAACCAGAATAAACAAATCAATGTCAAAGGGTGAATGTACCATTTATGATACGGGTTCGATATAACCAACAACTTTGATCCGAATCATAGTGTATTTGTTTTCAAAATACATTCACTATGTACAAATTATGAATCTACCTCTGCAAGTCTACGAGCTTGAGTTTTAAAAATAAAAGTATGAAACAGGAAGAAAAATTTCCCTGTATTCTCGAAAATTGCACGTCTTCACAAGAATTTAACTTTCATCATTCTGAGTGTACTTGCTTTTATATTATAAAAAAAATATATACTATAGCATATTACACTAACAATTTTTTTAGTTTTAAGTACTTTATTAGGTTTGGTGTGAAGAATTACTTATTGTTGTAAGTTCATTTTACTTGATGTGTAGCTATTTATATATATAACTGTTAATATATAAAAGTTAAAATATTTTAAAATTAATTTGTCTTATGATAGTAGTGTCATTAATTAGTAAAACTGAAGATACAATATTTTTTGTTTCAATAAAATTTTTTGTCACTTTTCTGTGTTGAGATTTTCTAAGTACGAGTTCTATCTCTCCCATTAAAACAAGTACTGCAAAGGATTTCATATTATTAGAGGTATTCCATATTCTCATCTTGATAAAAGTGAATATGTATGTTCATTTTGAGGGCAAAGTCAATTTTAGAACTATATATAAATATATACACCTTTATTTATATTTTAATATCACTTTAAAAAAGTCAAACGTAACAATAAGAAGTGCTAAATCCAATAAAGTTTATCCATCATTGAATCCGTCCCATTATTCGTAAGTCAACCAATATTTTTTATTTTGACTTTTTGCAGACTGTCTTTTAATTAATAATTGAATACTAAATTTCTAGTTTCTAAATATGCAGAATTTCATTATAAAAACTAGAATGATAAATTTAAAATAATTACATACAAAATTCAACATTCTACGTCAAGCATTATTCATTTTGGAACCGAAAAGAGTATTAAAAATCAATATTTCCACTAGGACAGGAAATGATGTTGGAATATAATGGTATTATATGTAGTATACATCATGACTATCTCAACTATATATATTGACAAACAGCAAAACAACTATTCCAACTATAAATAAGAACCTTCCTGACTAAAATAAAACAAAGAGAAGGAAATTAAAGCTGATAACTGAAGCTAGCTCTTAGCTTGAAAACACAGGACGTTTTAAAGCTTAGTCATTTTTCAAGATGGGAGAAGAATCTGTAGACATAAGGTTGGAAATAGAGAAGGCGAAGGTGCCACTGCCACCACAGCCACAACGAACCCATTTCGTCCTAGTACATGGAATAGGGGGAGGAGGGTGGTGCTGGTACAAAATTAGGTCTCTTATGGAGAATTCCGGCTACAAAGTCACATGTCTTGACCTTAAAGGTGCTGGAATCGACCAAGCTGATCCGAACACCATTATTTCTTTTGATGAATACAACAAGCCTCTCATCGATTTTTTGTCATCTACTTTGCCTGATAGTGAACAGGTCCTTTCTCCGCTCTCCTTTCATAATATAATGACAAATTCAGAATTTAGAGTTAGTGGATTATACTCTACTCTTCATATACTTTGTGCTAAAAACATTCATTATAGATAAAGTAGTTTTCTTTTTAGTTTAAATATTTTTCTTGTAAAGGTTAAAATTACATGCATATATATTTGTGATACTTTAATTTAGTGGTCAAATTAAGCATGATTTTATTTGTTGTGTATAGGTAATATTGGTAGGACATAGCGCTGGAGGACTGAGTGTTACGGATGCAACCCATAAATTCGCAAAGAAAGTAAAGGTGGCAGTGTATATAGCAGCAACCATGTTGAGAACTGGTTTTGTGACTACACAAGATGTTAAAGATGTAAGTAGTAGCCTCTTTCTTTAAACCATCATCATCGTCATCATCATATATATATATATATATATATATATATATATATATATTATTAATTAAGATCGTACTTACACATTAAGTTTGTATAGGCACACAGGAGGGTTTTATTAGCTAAAGGCTAAAGGAGAATAGGACATCACATGTCTATTTTGTCTTCAAAGAGTAAAAACAAACAAGATGGAGCGGAGGAAAGGCATTTGTCTGTGGGAAACAAAACGTAACAAGCTGCGTCATCCTGAACAAGGACGACCAAATGCTATTGATAATCTATATCCGTTAATTAACTTCCTTTGATCGAATTTCACACCTTCGATCCTCAATATAGTCAAACTTTTTTATAACATCCTCCTTTATTTATTTTGACATATTTTGATTGCTATAGTGAACTGTTACTATATAGAACATATATTGTAATATAACATCCTCCTTTATTTATTGTAATATGTACAGATATACTGTACATATTTTTGGTGTTTTTCTCTCTTTCATGTCTGGGCTTTAGATTGTTGTGGCCTTGTCCAGTTGACCCTCTCCTTCCTCCAAAGGGCATTATTACATTATATGTCATATTATTCATAATTTAATTTCTTATTTCTTAATTCCTTATGCAATATTTTCCTGCAAGCAATTAGCCCAATAGATTAGGGTGAAAGGAATCTCTCTTTATTTAAGCAAAACCTAATCTATCCTAAATTGTAGCGGTTCTTACATTATTTAGGATAATAATTGATGTTTTGCATTTTTGTCAACCTATGTCTTTTATTCTGCTTCAATTAATTTATTCCGCCTGCTTTTCAAAATAGTACTTGACGATATATTAATCTTATTGTAACAGGGAGTCCCCGATTTATCAGATTTTGGAGAATTTGCTGATGTATATGACATAGGATTCGGATCAGGACCCGAACAACCTCCAACCAGTATAGTTATTAAGAAAAGTTTACAACGCAAAATTATTTATCAAATCAGCCCCCTTGAGGTAAATATTGCTTCACTTCACCAGCATTGTAAATGAAACCAACATACATGTCATCTTTTACATTGGTTTCATTTGGTTTTAATTAGGATTCAACATTAGCGACAATGTTGTTGAGACCAGGACCAATTCAAGCGTTACAAAGCGCGCGATTCAAAGAAGGCGGCGAGGGAGCAGAGAGGGTGCCTCGAATATACATAAGAACGGCGCGTGATCGAGTGATGAAGCCGGAGCAGCAAGACGCAATGATCAGAAAATGGCAACCGCAACATGTGTGCACCTTGGAAAGTGATCATAGCCCATTCTTCTCTGCTCCTTTCACGCTATTCGGTCTGCTTGTCAAGGTTGCTGCTTCTTTTTAGTGCAGTTACTAAAATATATAGTCCGTTTGGCCAAACTTCTAAAATCAGCTTATTTTGAGAAGTGTTTTTTTCAAAAGTACTTTTAAAAAAAGTGCTTTTAGTGAGAAGTAGTTTGTGTTTAGCTAATTAATTAGAAAAACACTTTTGAACAGTAATTAGTATTTGGCTAAACTTTTGAAAACTGCTTCTAAGTGTATTTTCTCAAAAGTGCTTCTCAGAAAAGTGTTTTTGGAGAGAAATTAATTTTTTCTGCTTCTCCAAAACTGCTTTGAGCATTGTGTTAATAATGCTAAGGTCCCAGGTTTGAGACGTGCATGGGCTACTTTCCTTTTTGCCTATTTATTATTAAATGGTGTATGTTTAGGGGCCCGCCAGGATGAGTGGTTCAATGTATATGGATACAAAGACAACTTATAAAAAGAAGATAATTAGCAACAAATTAAGTGTCTGCAGAGTTTTATATCATTTCCCCTTCTCTTTGTTTTCCCCTGTTGTCTAGATAGAAGTCTAGCTTATCAGCTCTCCAAAACTTGATTGGACGTTGTACCTTAGTTTAATTTACGCAAATACAAATATTTTCGCACATAAAATCATAGAAGATAAATGTTATGAATTTAACAAACAACACAATTGCAAATAGAAACTGAGAATTGATCTTTGATTAATTGAAATTCAATACATGGAATTAGAGAATAACAAAATGGAAATTAACATAACTAAGATAGGGACAGAAAGAAGGAGATGAGAAGACAGAGCCACGGAAGAAATAATCGAGGGAGAGAGATCAGAGAGAGAGAGTTTCTACAAAAATTCAGCCTCCCACATTAGTGCTACTATTTGGCCATTTAACCATTCGTATGCCCTCGCTAATATTCTCATTCCAATGTACCCAATTCATTAACCCGGATCCATATAAAACCCGAAAGCCTTTGTGGTGGTCTTTTAGTTCTTCTGCTTTTCCCAGTTGGCCCAATTCTTGCATCTTCAGACGGCCCAATGCCATCCTTGAACCCAAACTCCTTATCCATCATGACATTACCCCATCCTCAATTAGAACCTTGTCCTCAAGGTTCTAGTAGAGCAACAATGATAACATAAGGGAGAAGTTGTAAAGACTCAATTGTGTGTCAAGCAACCAAATATCCTCATTAACAAATTATCTTGATAAAAGTTGTAGATCTCTTCAAGCTCAAATTTTCCTTTAATAACAGAATGCATTACATGAGCTACTTTGATGCTTGAATAATCTTGTTTTTCTCCTAGTTCAAGCCAAACAACTGAGCTATCTATTACTTAGTGTGTTTAAAAATCACTCTTGACATCAAGAATGCCAGAACCCTTGCCACTAATTGTTGTTGCTCATGGTTACTCTGCCTTCTACGCCAAATAAATACTGAAGAGCGAGAACATAGAAGGAAACATAATTTATGAATGTGCAGTGAGATAGATTCCTCTAAAGAGTTTTTCAAGTTATTTCTTTGACTAAGAGATTGAGCAACTCTTTCTCCAATTGCATAATATGATAATGGCATGTATCTCTCGATTAAGGTTCCACCAAATACGTTATCATCTTTGACTGTAGAATGTGGCACAACCCTCAAAGAAATAATCCATAGCCGCGCTAATAGAACAAGCAAAACGCCACCTCTAGGATTAAAAAAACTGAGACATTTTATGAAATTGTTGTTCAAATCCATAAGTCAAGCAGATAGAAGCACCACCATTTCTAATTGCCTTCATAAATACACCACTAATCCTTAAACCTTCAATTGCATTTGCAACTAATGCACTGTTCTTATGTCTAGCTGAGACATAATACCTTGGAACTATGAGCCATATATTAATATTGCTCCACATACATTGCAGTTCATCAGTCTTTCCATGCCACTTAGAACCCACATCTAAACTCTATGGTACAAGTCCAAAAGTAGCAAATACACATTTTAAATGGAATGTCGGGACACTATAATACCTTACTCCAAGCCTTTTGTTAAAACACGTGGCTGTCAAATTGCTTCCAAAGACAACAGTTATATCCTTGAGTATAAACTTCTCTGAAATATCAAGTTCCAAGTGTAGCACCATATAGTCATCATGCAATGCCAACGACAAAATAAGAAATTCTAATGACGAATTAGATTGTAAAATATATGAAGTAACACACCATGGTTCTCCAGGATCCCACACTCTAGTCATAAAGTTAGAAAACGGAAACTTGCATGTACATCTAAACAAAAGTATTTCCTCGACGTTCTCTATAGAACCTGTTAGAGCTAGGAACATAGAACTTATTCCTGGATCCCAAACATATAAATCCATTACAATATGATTAAATGGCAACTGATTCCAAATATATTGATCACTGAACATGGTATCAATAGGACAAGACGATTTCCTAAGAATTCCCCTTAATTATCATCCACCACTATGTTTGAACAGTGCTTGCGCAGACTATATATCTGAAAAGCAAACTGTGGTACACTCACCATGTTGTCCGTCCAAATTGAAAGAAAACCTTCATCATGTTCTACTCCTCCATTGGATTTTTCTTGCACAACTTCAGGCACTAGTTTATCAGAATGCATTGCACTTGTTGGAATGCCATCCTCATTCTCCATAAAAAAATTATCAAGATAGAAATCCGGAATAGGCTCAGGTTTTAAGAAAAATTCAGCAAGATACATATCTTCAAAGGTCTCAAATTCAAGTTGTCATTGAATACAACCATTATCAAGAGAAGTTGCAGTAATGTACCTCTCGAAACTTTCATCAAACAGTTGGACAACATTGCTCGCAATAGTTGTAGCTTCTTCATCCGGTATTTCTATTGGAGGTTGTGGAGCATTGTCATCACTAGTTAGCCTGGCCTCCAAATCAGCAGTAGGTGAGCAGTCAAATCCATCAGAAGAATTGAGGCTATTGCTTAGAGGAGCAAAGGTAGTCCGCTGGGCTTTAGGAGGGACCGAAATTTCAAAATGAACATAGTCAAAACGAGTCTGTGAGAGATAGGCCAAACGCTAACCGAATCTGCAAAAGTCCGTTTATGAAAGCGTATAACCAATTTCTCAGTAAAATGTTTCCAATCAAAGAACTGGTCATTGCGGTAAAGCCAGTCGAACCAAGCGAGTGCATCGCCGTAGAGGTAGAATGAAGGGAGAGATAGCCAATAGTCCTTGGGGATACGACAAAAGTTGAAGTACCACTCCGCCTGACAAATCTATCCCGTTGGATTCCCACCGGTGAATCGATCTAAAATGACCACTGCCTCGGAAGAATCTACCATGGAGTACTCTCAATGAAAGCACCAATGTTATGAATTTAACAAACAACACAATTGCAAATAGGAACTGAGAATTGATCTTTGATTAATTGAAACTCAATACATGGAATTAGAGAATAACAAGATGGAAATTAACATAACTAAGATAGGGACAGAAAGAAGGGGATGAGAAGACAGAGCCACAGAAGAAATAGTCGAGGGAGAGAGAGACCACAGAGAGAGTTTCTACAAATATTCAGCCTCCCACATTAGTGCTACTATTTGGCCATTTAACCATTCGTGTGCGCTCGCTAATATTCTCATTCCAATGTACCCAATTCATTAACCCAGATCCCATATAAAGTCCGAAAGTCTTTATGGTGGTCTTTTAATTCTTCTGCTTTTCCTAGTTGGCCCAATTCTTGCATCTTTAGACGGCCCAAAGCCACCTTGAGCCCAAACTCCTTATCCATCATGACAATAAACTAATTGAAATTTGAATCTGTACATGGCATTAAGAGATCAGATCACTGTTCAATAATTGGATCTTGTGATATAAGGATAAACGAGACAAATTTTAAGGTTATTACATACAAATGGAGGACAACTTATTCACCCAAACACTTTTACTCTCAACGATGAAAAAGTTAAAATTTGTTAAAAAATAGTTGGAGTTGTTTCCGAAAAGAAAAAAAGAAATTCAAAAAGTTTTATAGAATAAGCACAATTGTTATTTTAAAAAGTGGTAATAAATCTAAAAAATAAATGAAAAAAGAAAAAAAATTCTTTTTTTTTTCCCACTAAAAAACAATGAATTCCATGTTCAAATCCAAAATCTTATCCAAGCTTTAGAAAAAGAAAAACAAAAACCAAAGTTGTTGTAAATAGTTTGTGGATGAAGTCCATGTATGAAAAGTTTGTGGATGGATTTTTACTTTATGTCCATCCCTTACACTATTTTATTATAGTAGTCTTTACTTTTTATGCCTATAAAAGACTATGTAAATGGCAGTGTAAAGAAACACCAAAAGAAGTGAAATACTCCTTTTTTCTATCTCCGTTTCTTATTTACATTCACTTTTATTTTATAACACATTATCATCACGAAGCTCTAATTTATTCTTAATCCCCGCTAAGTTGAGTCATATTTTATTAAGGTATGTATCATTATATTCATTTTATTTATGACAGTACATATCATATGCTCACTGTTTGCAGATTACTTGTGCTCTTGGGCATCTTAAATAGTTTAAGTACATTGCAGTGATAAAATAACTATTTCCTTCAGTGCTCAACTCTTAGATGACCTCAAAGTCATCAAACTAACAACCCACTAATGACATACTTATAATATTCATGGACTTCCTGGATCAAAACATATTTTTAAGGCATTTTGAAGAACTGTAAGAAATGAATTGACAAGTAAATTTTTTACATTAGTTTAATTACTTTATATTTATTGGATTGGAACATATAAATAATATTAGCCATATTCAATTTTATTAAAACACACACACACACACACAGATATATANAAATAGTAGGTTGTTTATATGATATAGCTCTATTTCCGTTTCTTTTTCCCTTAATCGTTTTGTTTCATTAATTATTTATTAATATAATTATTTCTCTAACTTATTTTTCTTTTATGATAGTTTTCACTATGTCAAATTTATCAAAACTTGAATTTGTGGCACTTGACATCACCGAGAAGAACTATTTATCATGGGTCTTTGATGCTGAAATTCACCTTGATGCTAAAGGTCTCGAAAATACTATTATATAAGAAAATTGTCACGATCCGAATTTTTCACCCTCGGGAGTCGTGATGGCGCCTACAAGTGAAAGCTAGGCAAGCCAACCATTTAAAATATTTACCTATTTCCCATTTAGTCCTTTTATAGTTAATACCCAACAATTGATAAACAACAAAAAATCTAATAAGCGGAAGACAGAAATGTAATAAATTAAGAAAGATGCCAAT